GGATGGATGGATGGATGGATGGATGGATGGATGGAAGGCTGGATGGATGGATGGACGGATGGATGGATGGATGGTTGGATGGACGGACAGACAGACGGACAGATGGAAGGATACTTACAGGAGTTGCAGATTAGGTGTGTGAACAAAGCTTGCTCCTGCGATCTCGTTGAATCCAGACTTAACAAAGGATCTAAAGTAAACAAATAATGCAAACATGATCAGTAGGAGAAAATAAATGCAGTCAGAAAAGCATCTGATGGTGTGTTTCATGCCATTTATGACCCAGAAATCTGAATCGCTTTAATTCTCCTTTGATTCCCACAGTGTGTGTTTAAGAGACCTGAAGCACAATTTGAGTTTGGGCCCTGCTTCTTATTAAACCTATAAACCCAACATCCATCACCCAAGAGTATTTAGATACAGTTATGGTAGCATCAAGGAGAGAAGGCTGGGTTAAATTTCTTGGACTTAACTATGGAAAATGATCAATCTTCTTTAAGGTTTTCTTGGCTGTTCAAGCAAATTCACTTTATAAGCAGGCTGCATAGTGCTCAGGGAAATCCTAAAAACTCTGAAATGTGATGACAGGACCTGCAGCACACTCCTGCTGTTATGATATGAAAGCAGGTGCTTATAACGGGGTGTTTTTATAGGCACAGCGCTGTGCTTATAAAAGTAGACTGCATATGTTTAGCTAATGTTGAGAAAAGAATTGCTTTTTAACGACACAATTATGCAGCAGATATCATAAACAAAGAACAAGACCTCCAAAAGAATGGCCTATGGACAGATGAGTCTAAAATGCAATTGTTTGGAAAAATCAACTAGAGGATCAAATACAGTACTACTGAAGAATAAAATGTTATACCAACTAAAAAGCATGGAGATAGAAATGCTATGGTTAGGGGATGCTTTGCTACAGCAGAAACTGACAACCACAGAACTATGTTGTGAAGCGGAGGTCCTGGAAAAAAAGTGAGACCATATGTGAGGAAAAATGAAATTAGGATTACAACTGGACCCTGCAGCATGACAGTGACCAAACTGTGCAGTCAGTATAAATTCCCCAAAGACTGAGTTAGAATTAGGAAAGGAAAATTCCTGTGGGTAAGTAAAAAGCTTGATAACCTGAAACAGGAAGTTAATGCAATAAAACACCTCAGACATCTCACAGCTGAAAGCGAGAAGCGGAAAACCTCCTCAGACAGATTATTGACAGGCTCACTACAGTTATTTCCAGCAAAGAGTGGATTTCCTTAACTTTTCCCAGAGAACCAATGTTTGCTCAGATATTTTTTAAATGAAAAGAATAAGGTTCATATTTGATGTTTTAAACGTGAATATAATAAAAAAAAAAATTGACATAAAATAACTTACATTGAATGATGTTTAAATAATTTTCCCTGGATCAGACAAACTTTGCATTAGCTGCAGCTATTTACACTTCTGAATTATTTGTTTAACAAAATATTATGGGATGTTTAACCTACTCTTCTTACTGTTGTCAGTGTTTTATCCAACATTCATATCCTCCTTTACTTATTTAAGATATAACATGAAAAGGAATGCATAATCATCTTGCATTGTTACAGGATTCAACCAGAGGCGTACATCTGTAACTTCTAGATAATAGGTATAGTGGATCTGGGGTGTAAATCTTTTCCATTGTCATTACTTACCTAATTATATCAATAAACATTCTACATAAAATTAATATTTACAATCACTAATAATAAATTGATTTTTTGATCATTTTTTAATAAAAATTGTTATTTATCTTTGATTTCACTGAAGACTCCTAGATGACTCGCAGAGACACATAATTTTCTCTTTACCCCATGTAACACAAAATCTAGTTCTGAAAACAGCATGAATTCTGTATTTATCATCTTTGATGTTAGTATATTGGTGTGTATAATTAACCACAAAAGAATAAAATGTTTTAAATATTCCACTTGAGAGTATTTCCGCTGCCACCATCTGTATTAGAGGGGAAAATGGCCACAGGGGCAGTGATGGTTCTAGACCAAATGTACCAGGGGGCCAGGAGGGGGCCATAGTGTTTTCATGGGGGCACAGAAAAGCATGAAATAAAAAACAGGGAAAGGGATTAAAATGTATTAAGGGAGCTGCATAAAGTGAAAGTTCTATTCAATTAGGTTTAATAAAAATTGTATTTCTTATGAGGTCAATATACGTTCATAATTTAGGAATTTTACATATTTTGCGCTTAATTTAAGTTAATGTCACGATTTGGTTGGAGGTTTTTGCAAGGACCCAAACGCAGAGGCTGAGAGGCAGGGGTGAGTTCTTTGAAGATTTAATGAATGATCACAGGCAGCAAAAATAGGAATCCAAAAAAATCCAACATAAAAACTAAACACAAACCAGAACCATGGGGACATCAGGGGAAAACAATCATGAGGAGCCAGGGTGAAATGAAGTACGACGAGGAACCAGCACTGAGGGACTGCACAGGGAGTGTATTTATGGCTGACTGAACAAAGGCAGGACTAACGAGCTGATAAGGAGCAGGTGTGAGTAGAGCTGACAAGGAAGCCAAGGGAAAAGAAAAGACAAGCGGGCAACAGAGGACAAACAAAGAAAAACCTAAGAAACTTCAATCCAGAACACACCAATAAAGCTAGAAAACAAAGAAAACATGGATAAAGATGAAACTGAAAACTTAGGCTACGTTCACACTGCAGGCCTTGATGCTCAATTCTGATTTTTTTACGAAATCCAATTGTTTTGCGTTGCAGTTCATATTTCCAAATATATGCGACTTGTATTTGATCTCCTGTTTAAACTGCAGTCATACAACGTCCCGCATGCGCAGTAGAGGACGCAATGATGTCACCATGCTCTTTTTCCGGAAGTAAACAGGGATGGTAGTGCCGGCGCGCATCTAGCGGTCTTTTCCAACCATAAAAACTCAATCTTTTCAAATGTGATTAAACATAAATACTGCTCTCTGCATCATCATCATCATCATCTGCCATGGTTGTTGTTTTTCTTCTGTGTAGCACGACGCAGAATAGTGACCTTTGTCGGGTATTAATGGTGTTCAGGTCGGATTCATCCGACCTGGCCGTTCACACACAGGTCGCATTTGAAAAGATCAGATTCGTATCGGATTCAGGACCACATAGCCAAGTGGCCTGGGTTGGATTGGAAAAAATCGGATCTGTGTTGTTCAAACTGTCATGAAAAGCGCAGATTCAGGTCGCATATGGGCAAAAAAATCGAATTTGGGTAACTTCAGGCGGCAGTGTGGACATAGCCTTAGAGAAAACCAACAGAACCGTGATTGTTACATAAAATTACCATTTTCTATAAAATCTGAATTAGAACTCAAGAAAAACTACTGAATTCATCTGTAAAAATTAGAGTATTTTTTATTTTTTTTTGTTTTGGAAAAAAAAAATTAGGAGATGAAAACTTGGATCCTATCTCAATACCACTGAAACTATCACCTTATTGTTTTTAAATAATTAGTAAAACAGAATTTGAAAAGAAAAAAATGAAATAGATCCAAATGACTTATCAGTAACCATGTCTGTTTCAGCGCATATCATCATTAAAATTTCTTTTAAGTATTATTTCTTCACTAAAGGGGCCATAACAGGGGCCAGGACAATGATTTACAGAGGCACTGGCCACCCCTGGCCCCCATCTAGCTCCGCCCCTGGATTTAACACCACAATCATTTGAAAATAAATTTATATGCTGCTATAATATGCTCAAAATTAGTGTGACGTCATTTACAGATCTTAGCTGTAAGCTCAGAAAAAAACAAGATATGTTGAAGTTTCACATCTTAGAGTATTCCAGGACTTACAATGAAACCACGTCGGACGGGAAAGTGTGAGGCACGGTTCGGACGTTCTCACACAGGGCATTATCTTTAGTGCAGGTGCATCCAACCGGACATCTGGGCTGCCTGGATCTGCGTCCATCAGCCAGCACCAAGCAGGCAGCAGCGACCCACATCAGGACGCTCCATCCATTCAGGTGTCCCATCGCCAGATCTCCCCCTCCCCTGTCCACGATAATCCTGCGCGTCAAACTTCCACACCGAAAACAAACACAAAATCCGCAAACGATCCAAAACGCAGTGAGGTCGACTTCGATGCTGCTGCTGATTATTTATTTGTTATGATCCAAGCACGCGCTCTGACGCAACCTCGCGTATTTAGCCAGATCAGTGGATTTGTTTTGAAAGGCGAAGGAGAAAGAATGATTGGCCTATATTCTGTCTTCTTCCCTCAAATAAGTAGTTTTAAATGATATGGAGGAAAAGACATTAGATGGGGGAAAAAGAAAGAGAGAGAGAGAGAGATGGAGGAGGAGGGGTGAGCAGCCCTTAGGTGCGCGTTTTTATCCCCGCTGCAGCTATTATTTATGCGCGCCACAGAGCCGTGCGTGTCTAATGGGAAGCGGCTATTCATGAGGCTCTGAGCAAATGCACCTGCCCCACACTCATTCAAATGCCAACCCCCCTTCCTGCCTGCTTCTGCAGAACAATAACATTAAGGACGCTAAAAAAAAAAAAAAAAAAATCTTTTAATATTTTTTCCAATTTAGTTGCTGCATGATTTACATAGAACATGGAAATGGAAAAAAAAAACAACTAAATAGGCGATTTTTCCTGTTTTCTGCAGACAACAAGGGGTGTTTTGATCGCTTCTGTCATTCCGGGTCCCTTTCAGCTCAGAGGAAGTCTTTTGTTGATTTCAGCGATAAAGTGGTGAAACACTGGAGGTTTGTTCCCAGATTGAAGTGAACTCTCACCTCCAATAATCTATCTTAATCCTGAATTAAGTAAAAAAAAAAAAAAAAGTATAATGTAGCCTTTTCTTTATTTTCTGTCCATGGTTCAAAGAGATGACCTTTGTTCCTCCGGGGAGAAGAACATCATAATCCTCAAAGTAGGCTAATTTGAGTTCAGTTCAGGCATATTTTCCTGTAGATAAAAGTCATTATGAATTGATTTTCCCAGGCTTTGTTGCTTGTTTCTTTCTGTATTCCTCTATTTACCGTAAATGTTGGAAATCATACAACCATCTCATTGAATCCACCATTAGAAAACAGAGGCATTGATGCTTCCAAAAGAAAAGCACCAATTTCCTCTAAAAATAAAATAGATAATTATTTAAAAATATAGGTCTAAATTATTATGTATTCAATTATTTCTATTTGTTTCTTTTTAATTTAGCCTTAATAGCTGTTTCAAGCTACATTTGAAGTTAAATAGGCTTACTGTAAATAGCCTATAGATGATCCACCCGGCAATTTATCTTTTTGCTGTAGCCATCAAGATTTACAAAGCAATTTCTGCATTTCAGACATTTATAGCTTCAACAAAATATTTTCTATTTACTCATTTAACTAACTTCTTACAGTTATCAAAATAAGGCATTTATTTTCATTAAGGTAAATAGATAAGTATATAACAAATTAATAAGTTTATTTACTGAGTAAATAACTACAAGGAATCAAATAAATTAAAAAGAGAAATTTATGAAAAACGTAATGTAGGGCCATTTATTTTAATTATAATAAATGCTATTATATTGATTGGTTGCATTATTTCTTATTTTACTAACTAACTAAGTAACTAATTAACTAATTTAATTAATAAGATTAATCATTTTTAAATAATGATACGCATAAATGTAGAAACGGCTTTTTAAAAAAACATTAAACTATTATTTACTTGAGATATTCCCGTTTTTCAACACAACTAAAAAACAACTAACTGACCTAAAATAATCAGAGCTTCAAATTATGTTATAAAAATAAAACAATAATATTTATTTCGTAAATCTAAACATTGTTTTGTTATATTCCTTTTGCATTACATGTTTTTTAAATTTTTTGTAGTTTTTTTTTTATTTCCTGGAGTCTAGACTCGACGTAATCATATCGCGGTTCGTCCGCTACGTCATCACTCGTCGACGAGCGTTTCGTATTGTAAACATTTCAAAAGGAGGCATCTGAGATTATCGAAGAAACTCATGGAGAATCTAGTGAAGGTAAAATATTGATTTTAATCTAAAAACTGCTCTGTTTGAAATATACGTTGGTCTGGGGGTTAGCTTTAGCCCATTAGCTTTTTACTGCGTTTTACTATCTGGTTTTCTAACTCTAAATGGGTTTAGTTTCATTTCATTTCAGTCAAACAATAAAAATAAAAACATAAAAAAATGAGTGTAGAGAAGATTCCTTTATATCATTCAAATATATATAGACGCACATAGAAGATTATATATAAATCGACGACGTGATTCAACAGCGGAAGGACGTTTTATTTACATGCTCATTATGAATCCTTATAAAGTGTGATTATCATTATTCAGGTTAACACAAAGCAGATGAAATGTTATAAAGATCAGGAAATTACAAAAAAACAGACAGCTTCTTAATACACTATTCAACATAGGGGACAGAATTCAACAGAAGGACAAATGTTCAAGCATCCAAATAAAACTAACAACATTGGTTAAAGTAAAAGCATATAAAAACAAAAGTAACTCATAGATATTTGAAATGTGTCAGTAATTATGAGCTGTAGAAAAACAATTGAAGTTATGGATTTGTTCAAAATAAAATGCTAGTTTTACTCTAAATGTTTCAATAATGTTGATGTTTTCATGGTTTAGGGTCGCCAGAAGACAAACATCCATACAGGCACTCATTACTCATTCCCAGGGCTTATATATATATATATGTATATGTATATATTATTTTATTTTTATTTTTTTTACAGAATTGTGTGGAAAAATGTGTTAATATGTATAATTAGGTAAATATTATTTCAAAATATCTATTGTCATAGATAAAGTAAGCTTTAAAAAAAAGGCTTAAATGGAAACTATAAAAATAATCAACTTTTGTGAGCTTTATCTATGTTATATACGGAAGAGGATTAGGGCCACTGAAAAAAAAAAAAGTTCACTGATTTTTACATTTTATTTCAGTTTAACATAGGAAAAAAGTCAGAATCCTGACTTTTTTCTCAGAATTCTGACTTTTTTTCTCAGAATTTTGACTTTAATCTCAGAATTCTGACTTTATCCTCAGAATTCTGACTTTATTCTCAGAATTCTGACTTTAATCTCAGAATTCTGAGATTCTCTTTTTTCTCATGTTTGATATCTGTCAGAATTCTGAGAAAAAAGTCAGAACTCTGAAATTAAAGTCAGAATTCTGAGAAAAAAATTCAGAATTCTGGCTTTTTCCCATACTAAACTGAAATAAAATTAAAAAATGATAAAAGATGGAGAATTCCTGAATCGTTTCTGGTAAAGTCTTTGACTGATCTGGCTATGAGGTGTTCATTGTGTTTATGAGGTAGAGACAGCCTGGGGAAAGAATCTGTCAGCTTGTTATTTGGCCATTAGTGCTCTGTGGTGCCTGCTGGAGGTAAGAGTTTAAGCAGCCTCTGAAAAGAATGTGTGGGTTTAGCAGAGAAGCTCTTTTTTGTCCCTACTTACAGGTTGTGGCTGAAGAGAAGGTCACCTCGTTGATTCTCTATGTGGATCTAAATGTTGGTTACAGTTTGGACCTGGTCTGTTTTAAGGATGAGCCAAACCGTACAGAAATTTCCATCAGAATTTTAACCAAGATCCACATGAAATAACATTCCAATGTTTCTTTCCATGGCACTAGACTGATACTCACATTCACATTTCATATCACCACTAGGGCTGAAACAGTTAATAGGATTAATCGATTATTGAAATTAATTGTTAACTAATTTAGTGATCGGTTAATCGTTAACTGGAGTAAAGAGGCTGTAAAACATGCCTTTAGCTGACAGAGCAACTTATCTTAAGCAGCAATTATACCAAAATTGTAAAAAAAAAAAAAGAAAAAAAAAGGAGAAGAAACATTTTGCATTTAAGAAAACAAAAACTTTTTTGTCTGTCAATATGCTCTATCCAGAACTCCAAAAGTGGAAAAGTTTTAGCTTCACCTCGTTTTATTTCATAAAAAGGCTGCTTTAAGGAATCTTTAGATATTCAATTAATAAACAATTAATTGGAAAAAATAATCGACAGATTAATTGATCTGCAAAATAATCATTAATTGCAGCCCTAATCACCGCATCGCCCGACTTCATTTTATACCCATCCACTTTGCTGTGTATTTTTTACTGATTGTTAATTATTTTAGAAACAGAGAGATCTATTGTGTGGAAACTAAAAAAAAGTCTGATACATCAATCAATTACATCAACTCCTATAGGGCTGCAACTAACGATTTTTTAGCAAATTGATTAATCTGTCTATTATTCTTTCGATTAATCGGATAGCCAAAGATTCATTAAAGACTTTTTATATATTGAAACTAGGTAAAACTAATACTTTTCCACTTTAGGAGTTCTTAAAAGAGCACGCTGACAGATGAAATATATATATTTTTTTATCTTAATTGCAAAATTTTTTTATTTATTTTTTTTATTTTGGTATAATTACTGCTCTAAGTGGGGTTTCTGTCAGCTAAAAGCATGTTTTAGTCTCTATACTCCAGTTAACGATTATTCTATTACTAAATCAGTTGACGAGTATTTCAAAAATCGATTAATCACGATTAATCCGATTAATTGTTTCATCCCTAAACTCCTATTATATTAAGCTTCTTCAAAAAACCTGGACCTTGGTACACCTTGCAGGTTGGTTGGTTGGCAGGTAAAGTAAAGTTTGGGTCAAAGTGCAGAAAGTTCCAAACAGGATTTCTTTGGAAGCCTGTTTTAAATGTGCAAATCTCATAAAGTCTTAAGTAGCCCTTATGTAAAACTTTGTGTTTGAAATCAACAGATTCATGGAGCGGGCGGCTACGACTCAGACTTCAGTGATGATGATGGAGAGGGAGACTCCTCGGAGAAAGCGAGAGAGAGGTAAAATAAAACACTGAGCTGAGTGCTCAGTGATGCATTGAATCGGTTTCTCTATTTAAATGCCACATCCTAGTAAACTGGAGTTAACCATCCATCCATCCATCTCATTCCAACAGATTTTTGAACAGGTGCATCTTTTAGTTACCTTATTTGTATACATTCACCTTACTTTAATGTTTGGTGTTTGACAGGAAACGGGAGGCAGAAATCTTACAAAAGCCCTTTGAAAAAGGTCGACACTCCAAGGTGGCTCACCGAACTTTACACTTGTGTGAAGTGGACAGGTAGTGTATTGTTGCTTTAGACACAATAAGTAGAAAAATCATTTCTCTGTTGTGTATTTAATTAGTCACTGTAAAAAAGTTATTCAGCTCCATTCATTTCAAGGTATTGCTGTTCATTGTTAAGCAAAAGTCTTTTTGTCAGTACATAAAAAATCCAATTATAGAATCAGATTTAAGTTTTATGGGCTGTTTGCAGTTTCATGATATAAGAGGTGATAAACATGAGAGAAATCCAATTTTAATCTTCTACTCAGTGAGAATATGTATGGATTAATTCCTAACAGAAGCTCCTGTTCCCCTCCTATTTACTTGTGGATGTAGAATATTATGTTAGGATGAATTTTCTGAATGAAAAAGTTGTTTTTGACAACAAACTTTAGAATCCACATTTTAATGTGTAGGTTTCTGTTTTCTTTTGTGTTTTTCAGAGAGGAAGCCAGAAACAGAAGGGCCCATCTCATATCAATGAATGCTGTATCCTTGTTTTATAATTCCCATGAAAATGCAAATGATTTAATAATTTAATATCATTAGATTTTTTTTTTTTTAACCTTTTGCCTTGTAATAATTACAGACTTCAGTGGGTTTTTCAGGAAGTTTTTTTCTGTGATAAAGCAACAACACGTTGCAGATAAAGTAGTGAAAGTTGACAAAACATTGTATTTAAATGAGTATAGATAATAATTATCTGTATTTATGTCTCTGCAGGTTTTCCATATAGAGAAACTAAATGTTTTGGTATTTTTTGATAGGATTGAAAGCCTGTTTTATTAGTTCTTGTAAGACTATCACATGGAAGAGGCCATGAATAGAACACTAGAAACTATAGTAGAAACATATATATATATATATATATACTGACACGATCAGAAAGAGAAAGGCAAAGTTATAGATGCAGAAAAGATGGAGAAAACATTTATATTTTACTTCTTAAATACATTTCTGTGGCTCTAGTAAAGACATTACTCAATCTGTTCATTTTTAGACAATAGAGCTGAGGAATTTGGGAAATCAGGACATTTTCTTGTGTAACAAAATGAATAATAATTTGATCCTAAATAAACACTTCCAGTTTGAGCGGCACAGGAAGTTTGTCGGTGACTACATTTTGTATTATGGCGGACAGATGGCTGACTTCCGACGTTCCACGTGAGTATTCTGCCTCGCTTTTCAGAATTCTGTGGTCTGCTGACTCTCCCAGCTAAGGGAATTTGTTTTCATTGCTAAACCAACCTAAGACCGCCTTATTCTGATACAGTTGAACATGTAGTTACCGGTAGATTCAGTGATGGAAATAGTTTGCCCCGTTTTTCTGAATGGAAAAAAATCTTGTTCATTCAGTCTCTTTATTTCAGAACTAAAGACAAAACTGATCTTGACGTGCTGCGTGAAAATCACCGCTTCCTCTGGAGGGAAGAGGATGAGGACGACATGACATGGTGATTAACCAAAGTCAGCCGATCAATTTTGAAGCTTCAGATGCTCACCTGGCTTTTAAAGCAATGCATTCTAGGTCTCCAAAGTGTGGACTAGCTTGTGCATGAAATGAAAAGTCATCTTGGTTATTTGATTTTGTCAAATTGTGACTTATTCTCCTCAAGGGAAAAAGAAATTGCCAAGAAGTATTATGACAAATTGTTTAAGGAGTACTGCATCGCTGATCTCAGCAGGTACAAGGAAAACAAGGTGAGCCAAATCAATTGTTCTCATAGTTGATCTATTTTCAAACCATAACGCTGCAGAAAGTGAGTGAATAAAACATGAGTTAAAACTCCAATGCAATCCCCCATAGATAGCTCGCTGCTTCAATGAGACATGGCAGAGTAATCAATTGTTTGACTCTGCCCCAGTTTCTTGAGAGATTGCATTAGATAATTGTCCCCATGGCGATGCCAAGTATGAAGGTTAATATTTGCTTATTGACACTAATTTCCATCATAACTGACCTATTGTTGAAAGAGGTTTCTGGTATGATGGGGTTTCTGGGACTATGCTGTGTTTATTTAAAACATTGCCAGCCCGGTTTCTTCAGCAGATGGCTCCATTTACAATAAATACAGGGCTGTGAAATGGATGTGTCCATTTATAGATATCTCCTACTTTTTGGCTTTTTTTGTCAAGCAATTTTTAAAATTGGACAAAGACAATCTAACTTAAAGGAGAAGAAAATCTAAGAAAGTAATTGCATACTTCATAACGTTATGAAGAAAATGGGATTTATCACAATTTTTGAACAGGCGGGGCCATTTTCAGTCTCCAACCTCTGTCCTGATTACTGCCAAAGCTTTAAACCCAAGATTTTATTTAAATAGAACCCATCGGGCATCATGAAGTAGGCGACAAGAGCTTAAACAGGAACAACTGAGTACCTGATGCAAAGAAATTCAAGAATAAATGAAAATGTTATATGCACAGACTTAAGGACTCCAGCATAACACAGTGAAATTGATTAAAATGAAAGAGCACCTGGCCTAGCAAAGATACTCAGAAAATGCATTGATGATGCTGGAATAAAAGGGATTCCTCAACAGGTTTGGGACACAAACAATGTGATGTCATTGATAAAAAGCAGGATAATTATTCTTTACAGGATTAACTTGTGTCAAGTTTCTTATGTTTTGGATTTTGTGTTGGGTTTTTTTTTCTCATTGATCCCATGTATTGTTTTGGTAGAAATAGGAAGAGCTCTTATAAACCCCTGTGCTGGTTGTTTTATCTCACCAGCACCTTGTGTTTTCATTGCAATTCTAAATATTATTCAAAAATAAACCTTGTTGAATTTTAACTAGGGCGGAATGATTTTGCCAAAAATCAAAATTGCAATTACTTTTTAACTCGGTTTTCCTTTGAACTAAGCAGAAGCATGTAGATATCTCACTCCAGGTTTTTTTCATGACCTTGAAAGCATGCTTGTTCATTGATGCAGGACTTTACTTTAACCTTTCCATGAAAAAGTTCAATTATAATTCCCCAAAAGTTGAAAAAAACATTCCACTGGACTTTGTATCCAAGTTTGAAGATGTTTCGCTTCCCGTCCAGGAAGCTTTTTCAATTCAAAATGTCAGAATGAGAGTTGAATTTGAGGCTTTATAAAATGGACCAAAAAACAAAGCCTTGTTTTGGCTTATAAAGCATGCAAATTAAACTGGAAGAACTTCTGTTATAATGCATGGGTTTGCATGCTAGCTGCAACTCTCTCTTCCCTTCTGCTCTTCAACAAACCCACTCTAAGTGTCTTACGGGCACCTAAAGGTCAGAAGTGAGAAATATATGTGTCTTACCCTTATTAAATGTAATGCAACTAAAACCGATTGCTTATGTGATTAAAAAATTATGTTTATCTTAATTCCGATCATATTGCTAATGCAACTAATTGCCAAGCCCTGATATTAACTTTTCTTTTTATGATTTAAAAATGGATGTATGTTATGCATATAAATCAAAATAGTCTTTAAAAGGTTTTCAGTTCTGAATTTTTTCACATCTTTACCAAGAGAGATAACCATGCTGATGTATGTGTATGAATAAGTTATGGCTGTAAATATGTTTTGAATATTTTCCCTGAGATTTATTTATATTTCTATTCACTCCTTTTGCAAAATAAAACAAAAAGATTTTCTTTTATCTTTGCCAACCAGTTTGGATTCCGCTGGCGGACTGAGAAGGAAGTTGTTTCAGGAAAAGGTACAGTATGACCTGCTCCTTAATTACTCTACCGTAAAGCTGCTGTGTTTCTCTTTTTTTCCCCCTTTAATGATAACTAAGCCTATAATCCTTGTCTTTATTAATGAAAACTCTGGGGTAAAACAGAGTGGTGCTTTTAGAACATTAGAATAAATCTGAAATTTTAAGTTTTACTCATGAATAATCAATACATCTTTAAATCGGAATATTTTTACATATGCTGCATTTACCTTTTGTTACAGGATTTATTTTTTAAGTTATACCCCCTTACAAAAAAATAAACAACTTGAACAAATTGATTCCTTCTTAAATATTCATACCTGAAACTGTGAGTTTACAAACATATCCACTAGGTGGGGACAGAGATAGAGGCTCTATACTCATTACTTAATCCAATAAAGTGGATCTGTTTCCTAACAGGTTCCTCTTTTGTTGGTCTATCTTTATGTCTTTAGTTGTATTTTTTTTTATATTGATAGATATAAATATGCTGTAAATTATTCATTTTTTTTCTCCGTTTTGTTTCTTCTGTTTGTCCTTCACCTCAGCCTCAGAGGATGCCTGAATCCCCTTACTATTTTGAATCATTTGAACACTTTAGTCCTTTGTTTACACCTCTCTTCTTCAGCTTCCCTTGGTTCTGTTTAGACTTTTTAGAAGAGCTTTGATGATTTCTCTCTATTTGTTGAGGATTAATCCCACACTTCCTCTCCATCGTGTGGCGGTCACTGATACGGATGGTTTGAACCAGTAAGGACAGTATCTACAGCTTAGTGAAGGTGCACCTGTTTAAACAGCTCTTTGAGACAAACTCATTTTGCATTGGATAAATTCCTCTACCTTTATTTTAGCTGTTTCTGGATAATAATTTGAAATATTTTCAAAGAAATGAGTCAGTTTAATTTAGTATAGAACACAGACTTCATCTTGAGTTCTCTAATGTTTACATCCCGACTGCCTCACAAAAATAAAGTGTGTCTGAGAAGGCTGACTAAGCCAATATATTGTTCCAGATTAAGACTGTGTAATCCTGGTCTCTGACAGTTCATCCCCTGCTGCAGTACTCTACAGGAAGTGGGATTAGATGGGTCAGATGCGCTTCACTTCAAGTGCCACCCCTTTGATTTGTGTGCTAATAATTCCCCAGGTCAAATTGAACCACTGCTGGGAACACTGAACTCTAGCCTGTGAAATCAATACCTAAATGAGTCTGTAGAACAGATATAGATTCCCTATTAGTTTTGTTAAATCTAAATATGTACATCAAGCTTAAATTGGTATAAAAATAGGGTGAATTGAATTTAAAAATTTAATTGGCTAAAAACAATATAGCAAAAAATAACTGAATTAAAAATACTGCAAATATTACGAACATGTATTTAATTATAGAAAAATCATTGGCTATGTGTTTGATATACGCGACAGACCTCTGTTGGAGAAAGTCTGAACTCCCCCCGTTGTTACACTGACCTTTCATTACCTCATTAGGTCCTCCTTCCTTTAGCTTTGCCACAAATGTCTCTGTTCAAATATAGAGGTTATGTTCCTAATAGGTCATGTCCACCACTCTACATCCAGTTAGGTGGTTTTCTTGAACACCTTTCCTTCCTTTCCTGGCTGCAGCGTTATGTAAGTTGAAGGTGTCACATGATTTTTTTTTATATATCTTTATGGATTATGCAAGTCAAGCTTTTTAAAGCAATTTTGTAAAACTCTTTGATTTGGTCACACCCGATTGGAGGCCTATTTAAAAGGATTTCTCTTGTTCGAAGATGTTCTGTACATTGCAGAATAAGAAAAAACTTCAAATAGTTCAACTTAACATGGGCTGTAGGGATTTAATATGCTATTTTTTTCATATTTTGAGAAAGAATTAAACCTGGACAGATGTGCTATAATTAGGTTAAAATAAAAAAAAATTGACAAATAAATGATACAGTATGCATATCAAACTTTGTTTGATTAATTCTAAATCCTAAAATATTAAAATTGTATTTATAATAAATATAAATCCAAGGTAAAAAAAAAATAAAATAACCGATGAATAATTTTGGATTTCAGACAAAATAAAATGGAGTTCAGGATCTTGTTATCCTGTGCAAAAAAAAAAAAAAAATCAAATGATAAAAAGCTGATGTTGTGACCTTACTTGAACACCAGGTGGCTCTGATTTAGTGCAGGGCATTATTTATTAACTAACTTGTGTTGCTTACTGATGTAATTAACAATTTTATTTCAGACTAGCAAGGGCTGCGAAGCTTGGGATTATATAATCATAGGGTTTGCCATATAATATTGCAGCGGTTCTAATGTTGTTCAGCTTCATTCTTCTGCTGCTTAGTTTTGGGAAACAAAAACCATCCCTGTTGATTGTCAACTTAAAGCAGTTTGGCTGGTGTGTCGTTGATGCAGTCATTTTTTTTTTCTTTGGTTTGATGTGTAAAATCTTATGTTGTGGATTTTTTGTTCTTTCTGTCCCAGTTCTTAACAAAAAAAAATCAATAGAAATAGTAAAATCCATCCTATTGGGACCAGGTTGTGTGATTATATTAATCATTCGATGACACCTGAGCTAAGATGGTTAGATAGGAATCTATTTTTTTTTTTTTTGTTTGATTGCAATTTTTTAAATTTCGTCTTCTTGGCTTTAAATGAGACCGATGCTAAGCAATCTACAGAAAACTCAAGTCCTATTTTCTTTTTATTTAATCAATGTTCGCACGTTTCTTCTTTTTAAAGTCATTTAAATGTGTTTGGCATCAAACACATGGCTAGCTGTGACCTCACACAGAACTTTCGACACTCAGTTGGAGATATTTGCCTGCAGCTGAAGGCCCCACTGGCGTCTAGCAGACTTGTTTGCGTGCAGATGACTCTGGCTTTTGTGTTTGAGTTCAGATTTCGAGTTTTTCTTGAAATTCTGTTATGCTGGCGCAGATGTTCAGCTGCATTCCAGCTCATGTTGTTCTGTGATTGTTTTCTTTTGTTTCCTCTGGTATAAACTACACTTTGGTGTTGCTGTCAGGTGGAGGTCAAAGGGCAGAGGAAGCTGATGTTAAGCCGCTGGTATGTGGATGTCCCCAGATGAAATTGGGAACTGTCTTTGCTTTTATAACATATTTTGCTTTAAAAAAATCAAAGGAGAAGGAATGAGGTTTGATAGAAGTCTGCTGCTTCTGAGTGCCTAATATTTCTATTTTGTTGGGGCTGCAGGTATGGATTACTTTAGTAATCAGTGAATAGTAATCAAGTGAATATTTTTTTCAATATTTCTAAAAAAAAAAATGTGTTCAATCCAAATGCATTAATAAATAAGATCCCGGGAAAAAAAAAAGAAATTGCTAATTTTAAGTAATTTTTAAACGCCAGATTAGTTTTTACATTTTTTAACCTATTGTGTATTTGCTTGTTTTCAGTTTTCCTAATTAACCAGGTTTATAGATTTCGTTTAGAGCCTTTATTTACTTGTTTACAAGTAAATAAATTTCAGTTTCCATACTGACAGTTTCCTTTACGGTTCTGTTGAAGTAAAATGAAAGTGGCAGGCCAATTTACAGGTGAAATTGCCAGTTCTTCTGCTTTAAATAATTTATTCAGCCATGTCTTTGTTCCATGGATTGTTTGTACTTTATAATTAGCAATACCCCTGCTGGGCTTTGTGTTGCCAGATAAAATACATCAGCTGCAATGAAGCTATTAAATGCCCTTTAAAAACGACAGCTCACAGCTCCAGAGCTCTAATCTCACTGGAGGAATGTGTAGCCTTTTCTGTTTGCTGTAAATGTGCTACAAAATCCAGTCAGATTTCTTAATAGAAAGGAGATCAAACAAAAGTGAGATATATAAACATTAATCAGTAATCATTACGCACATGGAGGCTCCTCACACCCTTGCAGTATTAATCAATAAACATATCCAGTAGCATTGTTAAAGAAAGACATATTCACTCCTTTGGTGTCTTGATTAAAATATATAGTAAAAACAGAAACTACTGAAAGAAAGCTGCTGAAGTTTAAGGAAAAACTAGCATTACATGTCACCATGAACACATCGGTGGCAGCAGGGGCTGGGAACATGGATGCAGCTAAGTACAGAACTTGGTGTTCTGTGAGTGCATTGCAAGGGGTACATGCAAATATTTTCTTTCTTAGGTAGTAAAATAAAATAGTGCTGGGAACTGTTTTGCTTTGTGAGGATCCAATTGAAAAATTAAACCAGTTTTTATCAACCAAAAAATGTTTTTCTTATATGCTTGAGTTCACCAAAATGACGCAGAGGAAAATGGTGCATGTAGAAACAGCCTATCAGCTGTTTTTCACATTGAGCTATAGGAGCTCCGGTGTCTTAATAAAAACAAATTATGCTAATTAAGTCGGTGTGACTATCATTTTTGTTCAGTATTTTGTTCCCAATTCATCAAGTTTAAATGTATTTATAAGCGAGTTACTCAGAGGAGCTCCAGTTTTATAAACAGGTTTATAATATGATTTTATTTTGTATTTATTTCAATTCCTTATTAACTTCCAGGCAATGTACTTATGTTGGTTTATTTGAGATGGAAAGAATAAAATACCTAAGAATTAAATGCTCAGTTTTAAAGATTAAGTAAAATAATTTTTATTTTATAATCAGTTATTGTACATTTCACTTTTGGACAATTATCATATTTTTGGCTAATAGGGGAACTCATGATAGTCAAAAAAGGTTGGGAAACACTGGCATAGAGGTTCACCCTCCAGCATTTCTACAATAAATATGCAAGCAGAGGTATGATGAAATGGTTTAGATCAAATCACATTTATGTTTAAAAAAAGATCCTGTTGAAGTTTGAGTTTAAATACAGCTGGTAGGACTATGAACTGCTCTTTGCAGATACATGTGCAGGAATGTGAGTCTGTAGATATGGAAAGCTGGAAGAGACATTACCTCAAAGACATACCGCTATCATTTTAGCAGGAGTTGGTTCTACGAAGCATTTTCTCAGGGCTGGGTTCTCTGGT